CTTCTTTTGGGCCAGGATCTTGCTAAACAGTTGAGGCTGGCCTTGAACTCATGATCTTCCTGTCTCATCCTCCTGAGCGCAGGGATGACTGGCCCACACTTCTGACTCAGATCCATGGATGTGTATTTAGGTTTTTATCTGCTCTGTTTCTATAATAGTTTGCACTAGTGTGTATTTTTGCACAGTTCTATTTGGAATATGGACCAAAGATGTTCGTGCCTCTGGATTCTAAAGTGATGCTCTAGTAGAAGGGACCAGGAGCGGGTGGAGGGGGACAGCTGGGAGAGGAGTATCTCAGGGCAGGGAGAGTAGTCTGAATCTACCTGTGACCCCAGATGCCGGCAGGAGGCACGGTTTGCCTGAGCACCAGAGAATGGAAAGTCCACAGTGTGAAAAAGACACCGTAGCAGGACTGCCCAGGAAGTGCACAGCCCGAGGCCATCTGCTGAAAAGCCTGTGTGGCCATGGACCCCTAGGCGAGTTCACACTGAAGATTTTGACTAGTGCAGACTCTTGTTATTCTGATAAAGCAACAAACCTCACCTGGCAGGGTCAGAAGGGGCATTGTAAGACCTTAACCTGATTCCAGAGATGGCTGAGATGTGGCTTATCTGGGGAAAGAACACGAGTGGATTAGAGAGCTGGGTTCTTCAGTTACCCTGGAGAGATTCTGAAGAGCAGGTTCTCTTCTCTTTCCAACCCCAAGGACCGAGGGCCCTCCACCTGCGTGCCCTCCTGAGCGCACTCCACCCAGGGTCCAGGGTGAGTTTCATCAGTGGCATCCTATCAAAGGTGTAAGGATTTCCTAGTGTGGTCTGGGACAGATGCCTAAGACCCCAGCCAGGTCCCCACACAGAGGCCTGAATAGACTTCCAAGGAGCACAGCTGCCACGGCTCACGTGACTGTGGAGCCCTAAGAGGGGTAATTAAGGACGGCTGCCACAAGGAGGCGCTGGAGTGACGTTGAGGCTTCCCGGGGCTGAGGTGTCTCCCTTGGGAGCACAGGGACAAAGAAGTGTGACATGAGAACCCAAAAGGAGCCCTAGGGGGTGAGTGTTCTAGGGGTGGCCGAATGGGGAATGCTCACTCATGGGCTCTTAAAGGTGCTTTTTGTAGGGAAACCAACTTCTCTCTTCCCCCGTAGGATGCCATTTGGTGTTTAAAACCAAGAATGCTTCCATAGAATAAGTTGAGTGTTTTACACACTCAGCCCAGCTGCAGACCTTCCCGCCCAGACCATAGGTCATTTTCCCCTCCCACTGACCAAGGTTTGCTGTGGCACACCCTATTGTTATTTCATAAAATAACATGTTTAAAAGGTTGTTTCATTTTCTGCATGTCAGAGTTTGCGTGCATGTGCACCACCTGTGTGCAGGGCCTGTGGAGGCCAGAAGGGGGCGTCAGATGCCCTGCGTCTGACGGTTCTGAGCCACCACGGAAGGGTAGCCCGTGCTTTAGCTACTGAGCCCTCTCTCCAGTCCCATTTCCCAGAGTCTTCCATGGAAGGCAGCCAGAGGCAAAGAAGGCAGGTGATGGGAGGAGCACCAGTGGCTGCATAACAGAAAAGCAAAATGGCTACCGTCTCTTCAGCACAGGCTGTTCGTGTTCAAGAACGGACACACACTTGGGCAACATCTGCCAACAACTTTCAGGCCGTAAGCTTCACCCTGGATATTGCTCACTGTTCCTTCGGGTGTTCCTTGGGAGGGAGGTGACGTCCTTCCTGCCCTTTGGCAACTTGCAGCTCTCTATATCTTAGGGACATTGGCGCTTGCTGGAAATGGAGCATGCGTGGCTTTTCCTGGAGACAGAAAACAAAGTACAAAACAAGACAAAAAACCCGGGGCGTTTACAAACATATCAGATAATTAGAAATTAAATGTAGTGTCTTTGATTTACATTTAAATGTTATTCGTCACCAATGAACGTATTCTGTGCAGTCTTGAGACTTGAATAAAGATTTTTGCCTGGAAGTTCATGAATAAAACTGATGAAATTACTGGCAGTCACGCCAAAGGAAAAGACCCTTAGTGTCTGAAAACACCAATGAAAACTTGGTTGATGCTGAATAATCTTCAGGATGCATAAGTGAAGAGCGGAAGCCTTAGGGAGTTTAAAGGACAGAACAAGCCCAGCCATTCTCTCATGGCGGGAAGTGGTGCAGGTGGCAGATGGGTCTTATTTTTAATACCTTACAGAGATAAAGCCATCGCTTTTATGAGAACCATGTAATTGAATTTCAACCCAAGGCTTCTGGGAAAAAAAAAAACACAAAAAACATTTAGAATTATGATAAAAATGTTCTTTTTTTCCTGAGGTGAGAATCTTCTCTTTCTCCCTCTCTGTGTCACAAGAAATAAACTAGGGAACTCCACTAAACACCATTTTAAGGAAACAAAAGACAGATGGGGATCCAGGTTTCCAAACAAAATGAAACAAATTGCCAAAGCAATTTACAAAAGCACAGGAATTGCTGGGGTGGGCGGGGCATGAGCAGGGAGATGGCACCAGGTGGTGGATTGCGGAGATCATCCATCCTCCTGCAGAGACCCTCACAGAAGCAGGGGCAGGCAGAGTGCCCAGCACTTATCAAGAGCCGAGGGGTGTGGTGGGAGCAGGGGCTGGACCTCACTGGGACTTCCTGTGGTCATCATCATTCACAGCTTAGGAGAAAGGGGTTTCTCCATCTGTTCCTCCGTCAAAAAATTTCTATACGATATATTTTGATCATGTTTTTCCCTCCCCCGGATCCTTGAAGATCCTCACCTCCTCTCTCCCCACCCCAATTTGATTTTTTTTTCTCTTTCTTAAAAATAACACACAAAATGAAAAACAAAACAAAAACCAAACATACAAGCAAAGCCAGCATGATGGCACATGCCTGTAATCCCAGCACTTAGGGAGGTAGGGGCAGCTGAATCTGTGTGTGAGTTCCAGGCCAGCCTTGCCTTGTCTATAAAATGAGTCCAGGACAGCCAGAGCTACACAGAGAAACCCTGTCTCAAAAAAAAAAAAAAAAAAAAAAAACGATGCTGAGACTCATAACCAAACCTTGGGCAGAGTGCAGGGAATCATATGAAAGGAGGAGAAAGACCTGGAGAGGATGGGAGTGCCAGAAGGACCCAATGTATCTGGGCACAGGGGTCTTTTCTGAGACTGATTCTCCAACTAAGGACCATGCATGGATATAACCTAGAACCCCTGCTCAGACATAGCCCATAGCAACATCCAAGTGGGTTTCTTTAATAAGGGGAACAGGAACCATCTCTGACATGAACTCAGTGGCAGGCTCTTTGACACCCCCCCCCAAGGGAGGAGCAGCCTTGCTAGGCCACAGAGGAGGACATTGCAGCTGAGAGACCAAAAGATTAAAAATCAGCAGCTATTATTAATATTTAAGGCCTGAACTAGGTGGGTGGAGAAGTCCAGCAATGCCCTGAGGGGAAGAACCTGCCATACTGCATTCTTTCCCCACCCACTAGAGATTCAGTTCCTAGGAAACTGGAGAGTTCCTAGGAAACTCTCCCCTAGGGAGAGACACCAGATCATTAATGGTTTGGGGACCTTCCTATAGCCAATCAATTCAAAATGTAGCATTTTGACCAACAGATGCTTGCCAGGCAGGAATCGCCTCTGCCTTGGGCATGCTGGGAGGACCAGAACCTTTAAATTACCCAACTAACCTAAGCACCGAGGCTCTCGGCTCTCACCACTTCGGCAGTGTGTGTGTGAGCCCAAGCTGGAGATTGTAATGA